TGGTCTTCGCAATCACTTGTTATGCCTCAGAGAGTTGGACAATGACCAGGGAGGATAGAAAGAGAACTGATGCCTTTGAACTGTGGTGCTGGAGAAGAGTATTGAGAATATCATGGACTGTTAGGAAAACAAACAGATTCATCCTGGTAAGGGCTAAACTTGGTGGTTCCTTGGAGGCAAGGATTCTAAGGCTCTGTCTAACATACTTTGGACATGTTGTAAGGAGAGACTGGTCCTTGGAGAAGGACATCAGGCTTGCGAGGGTGGAGGGACAGCGCAGGATGGGAAGGCACTCTATGATAGGGACTGATTCAGTGACTGGGGTAATTCAGATGGCAGTGTCAGAGACAGTGCTATTGGCACAGGAAAGAGCAGAGTTTAGGGCTGTTGTCCAGAGGGTCGCTATGAGTCGCAAGCGACTCGATGGCACATAAGAACTACAACAAACCTGAAACCTTCTCCTATTGAATATCAATTCCATGAAGTCAAGAGCCTGGCTTGTCATTTTCATTATTCTTTCCTTGATTCTAGAATGAGGCTATCCGAAATAATAAGCACTTAAATAATTTTCAATGAAAGCATTAATGACTGCTACTATGGAGCCAGGGATCTCTGATAGCCGAGTAGGTAAGTAGTTGTGCTGCAAACCAAAGACGGGTGGTTTGAATCTGAAGGAAAATGGGCAATCTCCTCAGTGCAATATACAATCACTCAAAAGCCACTGGATGGTCAACTATTAGTTGATTCTGGCTCAATAACAATAAGTGAGTTAGTTGATGAGTAGGCTAGTTAGTAAAGACTCTGGTGGCACACTGTTTAAGTGTTACAACTCATCTTGTTGTTGTTTTATATCATCAAGTCAGAACCAACCTATAGCTGACCCTCCAGTGGGTTTCAAAGTCATTATATCATAGGGGAGAAGACTATCTATCTTCCTCCCATGGAGGTAGATTCAAACTGCATGCTTTGGTTTGGCCACATAACTCCTCACCACTAAGCCACCAGAGCTGCCACAGCTCATAGCAACCCAACAAACAACAAACTGAAACCTTGTCCTATACTGCATGATCTTCACAATCTCCACCACGCTCAAGACCATTACTACAGTGAGTATGTGAATCCATCTGGTTGAGGGTTAGCCCCTCTTCCATTAACCCTCTCTATCTTTCCAAGTATGATGCATTTTACAGGAACTGACCCCTCATAATAACATGCCCAAAGTATATGAAACAAAGTTTCACCGTTCCTGTTTTTAAGGAACACCCTAGTTGCACTTTCTGCAAGACAAGTTTGTTTGCCTTTTTGGTAGTACACCGGGTACTCAACACCCTTTATCAACAACACAATTCAGTGACATGCATTCTGAATGTCTAACATTAAGATGGATGCAACTGAAAATACCATAGCTTGGCAGGCATACCCTAATTTTTAACCTGGCCTCCTTGTCCTTTAGCATTTTGGAGAGGTTCTTGAAAAAGCGGGTTGTTTGAATGAAACACGTTTTGGTTTCTTAACTGCTATTACCACATGTGTTGATTATGGATCCAAGTATAATTAAATAATTGATAATTACAATCTTTTCCCCACCTATCATGACATATATTAGACCTATTGATCTGATAGTGAGGATTTTTCTTCTCTTGATGTTGAGATGTAATCCACATTAAAGTCTTTG